CCCTCCCTCGATCTCCCCTTACCTCACAATATCCTCTAACTTTTGGTTTCTGTGGTTAAAAAGACAAGGTTTTTTTTTTGTTGTTGTTGTTAGTTAGTTGAAAGAGAAGGAAGCATTCTGGAGAGGGGGCAATAGATGAAATGGTCTGGGGAAGAAGGGGAGTAAGACTCGGACCATGGGAGGCATGGGAGTTGTTTTGGTGCCCAGAAGATCAAGATCCACAGTGTGTGTGTGTGTGTGTGTGTGTGTGTGTGTGTGTGTGTGTAGGAGGAGAGGGGTGTCCTCCCTACTTAAACACCAATCCCCTGGTGTGGCTTGGAAAGCCATGGCACTGCAGCAGAGCTTGCCATGTCCAGCAGTGCAGTCTGGTGGAGGTGCCCTTACAGAGGGCAGCCACAGAGCTGGCAATGCAGAGATGTCCTTCCATCAAATGGCTCATGGGCAGTGGATTTGCAAGAGGGTACTCGTGGTGAATGAAGTGGTCAGACTTGTTCCTAAGCACAGGGGGTCTCTGACATAATGGGAAGAGACAGGGAGGGGTTTCTCGGTGGTGGCCAAAGTCTTATCTGAGAAGAAAAGGCTGGGAGTTGAGATTCGAATGTTAATATCTCTGTGCTCATTTGCACCCATATGCTAGGGAAGCCTGGAACAGTTGGGTCTGCTATGAATACCCAGCCACCAAGTTCAACCTACTAGTAGGCACTGTGGTGACACAAGGATGTTCCTCCCCTCATCTTCCTCGAAAGGCAGTCACTTCTCCTTTCTGCTTTACTGCTCCATGGTCCAGTCTCGAAGACTTGGCTTAGAGGTCCACTTAGTCCCTTGGGAGACAGAGGGAAGAATAAGTTAGTTTGAATGGACTGAGAATCTTGAGAGCTGCCGTCCATGCCTTGAAATGGCAGCATTCAAGGAGGATGCAGATTAAAGGCTGCTGGAGTGTGCTGTGGACATCTGGTGACACATGCAGAAAGCAGGGGCCAGAGGGGACCCTGGCCTCACCCATGTCACTGCAGAAGGCTACTCTTGCCTCCTCTGCTGAGCTGTGGGATACTGATGATATTTCTGCTGTCCTGCAGGTGGCGCCACAATTTAGGTTTTTAAGCTGCTGCCTGCCTGCCTGTGGTTTCTGTCCAGTGCAAGGTACAAGACCCAGCCGTGAGGGCAGCTCTTGGGGAAAAGAAAATGTCTCTCCAGCACCACCAGGCTCTGGTGATTTATTTAACGAGCAAATCTGGCTTTGATCAACTCAAATAGCAGCACTGTTCCTAGGCTAATAAAATGGTGGTAGCTAAGTGAAGGGAAATTTAAGGGTTTCTTCTCCTCTTTCCTATTAAACTGGTCCTTTTATTCAGCCGTGAGAGATGAACTAATACTTTTTCTGTCTAAACCCAGCAATAAACCCCAACCCAAGTCCCACAAACACAGCTTCTTTAGAAAACAGGACTCTCTGAAGCAATATGCCATTTAGCTTCTCCCTCTTGTGGCCGTGGGTCCAGACAATGACATAACCAGCTTCACGACCAGACAAGGGACAGGGGGAGTGACTCTCAGAGCCATTGTCAGTAGGGGACGGCTAGATGGTCCTACTTGTGTCTCCCTTAGCCCTCGTCAGTTGCAGGGGGTAGAGGAGGTGTGAGAGCCAAAAGAACTTGTACCTAATGCAGAAACACATTTTGAACTGTGGTAAGATGCTGCCTTTGCCTGTGTGTTTATTCCTGGGGTGCGGACAAGACAGCAGAAGGCCTACCCTCATTGTATCATTCTATTTGAAAATAAAAAAGATACGTTTGTCTGGAAAGTGACCCTAATTCCCTACATGTGTTTTGTACTTACCTTTGAGTTTCAAAGCACATTAATAAGATGGTATATCCTTTGAATGTCATTGCAACTCTAAGGGGCAAATGTGTCAAATGAGAGATGAAGTATCATTGAGAGGGCGTGACCTGCTCCAAATTATAAAGCCGATGACAGGACCAGAAGTAGGACATGTGTCTTCTAACTTCCAATGTGGAGGCTCTACTCATCCCACCCCATTCCATTCTCCTAACTTAAGGGAGTCAATCCAATGGGCCATCACTGAAAAAAAAATCCTCTACTGCGGCTAATTTGACCCTTTCTGCTCCTCCTTCTGATAATATGATAACTGCCCCCTTCAGTATGCCTTTCACCATGTTATTCAGTGAAAGGAAAGCAGGGAAAAGGCAATTTGAGATATGGCCCCATTAACAACGGAGAGCTGGCTGGGCCCCTCACCTGCCCATAGCTGGTCCAGCTTTTTGCTGTATGTCTTCCCTGTCATTTGGCTCTGTTATTACTCTTCAGGCACCACATGGCATTCATTTCTCTGAATGAAAATAAATGACACCACACACTAGGCAGGAGATAAAGAATAATAAACACATTTTATTTGCCACCTCTGAAAAAAAAAAAAAGAAAAAGGTCTTTGACTTCCCGTCTATCCATCAGGAAATGGGCCTGGAACTCAAGCCATATTCACACACACACACGCACACACACACACAAACACACACACGCCTGATACGAGGAGGAAAAAGACAATCAGATTGTATTAAAAATACATGCCAGAGTGACTGAGAATGGAGACAGAGCTGTTTTCTCACCTTCCCCCCTTCCTTTCAGCATTTTATGGGATACTGAGTGGCCAACAGACATTCAGAAGGAGTACCCCCTGCCCTGCTTTTATTGAACAATATTCCTTAAGTAACCCATTAGGGACTTTCGTGGGGCTATCTGGGCTCTCACTTGTGGGAATGGACTGTGATGGTCCCATGCAGCAATTTTAAAAGGGGCACCTAGAAGCAGTGCCAGGATCAGGTGATGCAAACCTTACATGGATCTGGGGGTGAGGGGGCTTCCTTCGATTTTGTATCCTCAGTGCCCGGCTGGCCTCATGCTAATCCCAGTCTTGCACAGAGAGACATTTGGCCCTGGGCTTCCTCCACCCCGGAAGGATGTCCAAGAGGCAGTAGCATTGAGTGATTTTGTTATGTGTGTCTCTGGACTTCTGAAACTAACCTGATATTGTGTGCTTTATCTAGAGTCTGGGATTCAGGGTTTCTGGGAAGAGTGGAGCCAGATCAATGTATTCACGTAAGCTTAATAAGATAACTCCTTGCTGCTCTCTGGGCCATGCAATACTTAGCAGAGAACCAGAGACTAAAAGGGCTCCACGCTGTCTCCTGGAATATCCTTTAACCAAAGAATCAAACATCTGGTTTACTCCTCATTCTGGCTTGGTTCATCTTCTCATTGGTGAGAGCAAAGTTTCAGTGGGGTCCTCTATGGGTGGGCCAAGCCTGACCTACATGTGCTGCTTACCTTGGGGCTTGTTTAAACTATCATCTCACAGCTCCGTTCAAAGGCTCCCCAATTCACACAACTTTGTTTTCTGTGAGAATATAACCCATATAGGGTGGTATAGGAATTTATGCCATTATCAATCATGTCCATCTAATAAGGAGGCTCTGAGATGTTTTGATGGGAGGGACAGTAATGGGCAGGGAGTTGCTGGGTGTGAGGACACGGAAAACTAAAGAAGGGACAGGAGAGAGGAGGCCAAGAGCCGTTGACTCCTTTAGAGGGTCGTCCTTGATGGTTGCCTATCCCAGGGAATGCCTACTGGACACTGCTGAAGGTGCCACTTCCCTGAGACTATGCTGGGAGCCAGGATGAGGATGAGGGAGGTATGCACAGAGTTGCGATAACAGGTGTGGGAATCCCTTTGGGTTCTCTTGGTGGGTGGGCCCATTCCTAACAGGATCTAGGCAGAGGTGGGAGGTAGTGCCACCCACTCCCCATCTCCACTGCCTAAACCAGAACCACATGGTAATTTCTTTCTTTGGACTTCAGAAACCACCCTGATGTTGGCATGGTCTGTTTTGGATGTAGTCTAGGATCCAGGGTTTCAGAGAAGAGAGGAGCCAGGAGAACTGCTCAGTATAAACATGACTGGAAAAGTCAGGTTACCAAACCAGCTCTGGGGCACTGACCACTCATGTTCTCTCGTGCAGGCCTTGTGCCCTCGGTGTCCTCGGCCTCCTTGGGTGCCATGTGGGGGTGACTTGGTGGGGTGTTGGGAGGGGTTCTGAGTAGGAATGGGTGTATGCCTCGGCGTCAGTGTGCGCTCGTGTCAGCTCTGAGCACCTGAGGGTCCCTCCGACGGCCAGCGCCCAGAGCTGCACCTTCCGAGGCGGCTGGATGCCTCCCTCTGAGCGCGCGCCTTGCGCCCGGGTCACCCATGTATGCCCCCCTCTCCGCCCCACATCGCCACTGCCAGGGTGGCTCCGTGCGGGCCGAGGGGACCCAGGGGGGTGTCGGCAAACATTGGTAGGGCGAGAGCCGGCGAGCCAGGCGGCGGCGGGTGGGAGAGTGTAGGGAGGCGCCCCCTGCCCCCTCTGCCAGCAGCTCTCCCTCGGTCTAGATGTCAGCCGCGAGCTCCGAGCCAGCGAGAGCGAGCCAGAGAGGGAGCGGCGGCGGGCGGCGGGCTGCGGGCGGCGGGGAGGAGAGGAGGCGAGGCGAGGGAGGGAGGAAGGGAAGCAGGGAGGGCGGGAGGGAGGAGAGGAGGACCCAGAGAGCGCCAGGCAGCTGGAGTTTTTGCAGCGCTTGGCCGGGCTTCAATGCACAGCAGCAGCGAGCCGCGGCGGCAGCAGGCAGCCCGGGAGCTCCGGCGGCGGCCGAGCCAGCGGCGGCCCCGCTCCCTGCCCCCTGCAAACTTTGCTAGCAGCCCGCCCGGGGGGCCGGGGGCGCGCCCGGGAGGCCCGGCTCGGCCCGCGGCCGAGCTCTCCTCTGCCGCAGCGCCAGCCGCCGCCACCACCACCGCCGCAGCCCCGCGCCTCCCCGGGGAGCAGCCGGCGGCTCCCGAGGCCCCCCAGCCCCGGCCCCAGGGCACTGCCCGGCGAATTCCCCGGCAAGGGTGGGGGCTGCAGCGGCGCGGCCGGCCGCGGGCTGCCGGGGGGCGGCCGCCGCTACCCAGAGAGGCGCGCAGAGGCGCCGAGAGCGCTCCCCGGCGGGTCCCCCGCGCACTCGCCGCGCCCGGGCAGCGGCCCGACCGGGCGAGCATGGGCGGCGCGGAGTGACGCCGCTGTGCCCGCTTGGCATCAAGGACATTCAGCCCGCGGGGGTGGGGACGAAGGGGGGCAGCCCCGCGTCGCCACCGCAGCCCCCGAGAGCCGCCGCCGCTGCTTAGACTCGGGGGTTGGGTGGAGAAAAGGGGTGTTCGGAATCGATCCCCATTTTCCGACCTTCTTGTTGGACATTACGCCCACCTTGGACGCCGCAAGAGGAGCTGTCAAGCCCCGCAGGCTCTGATTCGGCGCCCTCCGCGTTCCTCGGTTGCTCCCGGCTTCCCTGTGCCTCGGTGGAGTATTTGCGTTCGGGGCTGGGGCTGGAGGAGGCAGCCACACGCGCGCACACGCACACGTTCAGAGGAGGGCGAGAGGCAGCGGCATAGGCTCCATCTGCAGTGTCAATGCGGCGCTCCCGCTGAAGGAGGGAAACGCGGCGCGTCCAGGTAAGGAGCCGGCCAGCCGGGGAGCGGGGCCGGGCGGGCGGTGAGGGCAGCGCGGTCGGAGAGACCCGGGCCGGGTCGGCCCGGGAATCCTCGGTGCCCTGGAGCCAGCCCGCGGCACACGCACACACACACACGCAGGCACACACACAGATCCACACCGGCACACACGGCGCTCGCGCACCTGCCCACGTCCCACCTGGACGCCCGCGGAGGTGCAGCGGCCGGAGCAGGGATTTCCCGGGTGCGTTCTCCTCTCACTCTCCCGGACTCAGACTTCTCTTTCCCGGACTTTCGGGGTGGGATTCTGTGTATTCCCGGCTCTGCCTCCCACCCGAAAAGGTTGAGGGAGCGATTTTTTAGCTCTCAGCCCCTTTCATCCCTAGCTGGGCTTTAAAACGGGAGAAGTCCTGGGAGGTCTCCGGAGACCCACCCAGTGTCATCGCGGCCCCGTGGCCTTTGGACACCCTGGGATTTCAACGGGAGACAGAACCACAGATATTCGGCCGCCTATTTGGAGAGAGTGATGGCCCAACGCGTGGAGAGGAGGCCACATAGGCGGTTGGGGCTGCAGTTCTGTAGGGCGGTGCATATGGAACAGACACTGCGTTTCCCCAGTAAGAGGCAGCACAAACGCCTTTCTGAAGCGTGGCACTGCTTCCCCGGGAATGCGCCGAGATTTCAGACAGAAAGCGGCTTAAAGCATCGCCGCGTATGTTGCTTGTCTAGGGAAGGTACGGGGGTCATATCCTCCTTAAAAGGTATGACCTTATTCACAGCCTCAGTCCCTGCTTAGCAGCAAGGAGACAGGGCTTGGAGACACAGGACTTGGGTCCCCTCTCACCTCCCTACCCTTCCTTGGCACATGGGGCTGCCTTCCCCGGTGCCTCCGGCTGGCGAACACCTGTCACATGCCTTTCGAGGTGTGTGTCTGAGAAAGATAACTAGAAGGGGGAAGCACGAGGGGTGTAGTTCTCCAAAAGAGGAGGCTTCCCTCCCTCACGACCGCGGCGGGCGGCGGTGCCCACTGGAGGAGGCAAAGCATTCATGGGTCTGCCAGCGTCCCCCAGAGCCCAGGGCTGCTCCGAGTGTAGAACCACTCCACAGAAGCCCGTTCTTTAAGGTCCTATTTCCCGAAAGCATTTTCGTTCTTGTTCTCTCTGGCTGGAGTTTCACAGGCTGCTCATTTTAACTTTTTCTGGAGGAGGTAGGAAGTGTCTGGGGTTCTAAGAGGCTTTTCCATAGTTCCCTTCTTAGGGTCTAAGAGCAACTCATTTAGGGTCTCAGTTGTCATAGGGAGAAGAACATGAGCTCCAAAACAAATTTGGAATTGAATATACATGTACAAGCTCCTGCGTTTCTGGAGCTGTCCCTTTGAGGTACCTTTCTGGGCAACCTGATCATATCATTCTCCCCCAGAACTGAGTAAGCTTGTACCCTCTGTCCAAGATCATGTGTTCAGAGTATCCCACAAACCCACCAGTGGGAAAAATATGTTACGAGTCTTCCAGAACATGATGGGAGAGGAGCAAACATTCTTTTGAACAAGGAGGCCTCAGTGCTAGGCTCAGAATTTGGGTTGTTTTTGTAAATCCTGAAGATGGGGGTTGAATGAAACGGCTTTTTCAGCACCCTGACTCCGCTATTTCCAAACTTTTTTCAGCTCCTGCAAAGGTCTCTGGCTAGGCTGGGGAGAAGCGCAGACGCCCCGGGAGGGAGATTGTATTCCCGCTGTGTGCTGTGTGAGCTGCCCTTTGATTGACTGAAAAGCGTAGATGGAATAAAGCAAATCTCTCACAATGGGGAGACCCCAGTAGGGGGAAGAAACCTTATTTGCTTTTTAAGCATGGTGGGCGTGTGCACACACATACACACCCAAGATATATACCCACATGCGTTCTCAGAGTCTGGCTAAATGTGGTCAGCTCCCCTAGCCATGTGTGACAATGGGGTCCACCTCTGTCTTCTGGGTTGTGGAAGAAATGGAACATTTCTCCCCACATGCCCCTCGAGGGCGTGGACAGGTAGGTCCCACCTACTTGTACAGCAGCACATGGTTTGCAATAGAAATAATGAGCTCCAGCAACAGTGGGTGCCTCCCAGGTAAACAGTCCCTCACGAGACCTGGAAGAGGCAAAGGGATAGGGTACAGGATCTTCCTGAAATGTCTGCATCTTCCCTGCAGACCTCCACTCCTTTCTCTGCTTTCCTCTCTACCCTCTTTCCTTTCTCATGTATTTGCAGCCTCAGGATCCATCATTTTAATGCAAAGCCAGCAGTCATTATGCTGGTTATAAGCTAAACATCTGGGTTCAAACAATCTCCGCACTTTCCGCACTTAGCATTAGGTACCAATTTGGTTTCTAGGACAAGGCAGGCATTAATTAACATCTCTGTAGAGCGGAGTATATATCACGTTTTCCTGGCTCTCTTGCCCAGCCCTGGAGCATGCCATGCTGTCATTCACCCTCTCTGCCACTCTTCTGTGTCCTTCCTTTTAAGTTCTCTGAGGTCTTTCTCACTGGGAAGGGATTCACACTAGAAAAACTCCAGCCATGAATGCTTCTTTTCAGCAGACCCTCACTGCCTGGTAGATGGTGCTTAAGGCAGCTCTCCTGTGAGCACTAGGCGTGGGTCACCTGCAAGCTGCTCCTTCTTGCCCAATCACACCCTCCCGGGGCTCTCCTCTGTCCTCCCAGGACTTCACCCTGGATGCCCACTAGGACACTGCAGACATTTCTGGAGGACTCCAAGGCAGTCAACTTGTTTCCTTTCTCCTTCTCTGTGCCTTTCTGTTGCCTGCTGCTGCTACTCCCTGCAGACAGGGAAATCTGCATGGCAGAGTCTGCCTACATACACTTGGCCTCGGGATCCTTTTCATCACAATGAGGGCTGCTGGGAATGAAGTGGGGGCTTTCTAGGATGGCAGCAGTCCTGAAGTGGGAGAGAGCTAAAGGGGCTGGGTCATTAACCGCTCTTGGTTCATAGTTATCATCAGGCTTTGATGCAAAGAAATCGCAGTGGATCTCTCTACTTCTAGCCAGCTAGGGGGCATTTCTTAGCTGCTTCTCCCCATCCTCACCTAGAGAAGGCATACGCAGACAATGAACATCAGAGACCTGTTGGAGTGGCTCTGTGGTGGGTTACAAGGGGGCGGCAGCAATACAGAAAACACGACCGTGATCTTGGCTGTCATTAGACTATGCAACAGATGTGCCAGTGTCTCTTCTCTTCTTATTTGTGTCCGGCGCTACCCAATGTGAAACTAGCTCAGACCCTGGGCTATTGAGTAGGTTCATTTCCCTCCCTTGACACCTCCCTTCCTCTCCCTCCAACCCCCACTTCTCTGCCCCCACCATTTGCTAATCTACCTCTTGGCTTTGTGCGCACATCCGCCAGCCCATTCGCCCTCAAATTTGCGGCACTCCAAGAAATCAATATAACATGAATTTAACGACAGCTGGATGATTAAGTGTTATTTATATTTAAGAGCGGCATTTTAAAAAGACGTCTCACTAATAAATCAAACGGCTGTTTGGGAGATGCACATGATTAGGATAATTGGCCTATAGGCTCTATCGAGCTATGCTTGGTCCCCACAGGGCCCCGTGGACAGGACACTGTCTCTTTAAAAGCTGCAAGCTCCACTGCTCCCTCCCGGGACTCCCACCTGATCCCCTCTAGCTGCCCAGACTTTCTCTTTCTTCTTTCACGTTGTCCTCACTGCCCAGGCTGCACCATTCAAGTTGTAGTAGGAAGGTGGAGCCTGTAGGGAGACTGAAGGGGGCTCTGCTGCTAAGTGGTAAGAGATGGATCTTGAAATGAAAGACAGGCAGGGGTCCTGATTCCCACAGCCCAGGCCTGTTCCTGAAGGAGGAGGCTGCTTCCCTGCCTGGTATAGAGCAGCCTGGAAGAAAAGCTTCCCGAGTCCCTGTGTAAGTCGGTATAAGCCCCCACACCCCTGCCCTGTCCTGTGGCATCAGCCTCCCAAGGGAAGAGGCTGTGAGGATATTAGTATTAGTTTCAGTTCTTGTAAAAACAATGGAACGAAAGATGATAATTAATGATGATGGTGGCCAATATTTATTGAGCACTCATTTGGGCTAGGCACCATTTAAGTAGTTTGCCTCATAACAACCCAGATAGGCTATTACAGTCCCCATTTCCTCCAGGAGGAAACTGAGATGCAGGAGGTTAAAGACTTTGTCCCAGATCACACAGCCACTTAGTGATGGAGCCAAGTCTCACTTGTAAGCAATCTGACCTTTCTCCTCATCACTGTGCTGGTTGCCTCCTTAGAATATATGTGTTCACTGTATTGCTGCCCCTTTGGGAGGTTTGTGGGCGAGGGCTGGGGAGGAAGTTTAGAATATCTGGTCCTAGTCTCTTGCACTACCTCTGTGATACCAGGCAAATGTATTTATTCATTGAGACTCTATTTCCCCATGCATCAAGGGAGATGAGTCTTCTCTTTGGCTGTTGGTAGGTTATAAAATTGCATGGATCATTCTAACAGAGTGCCCAGGTCCTGAGGGTGACTGTCACCTCATTTGGCAATTCCCATTTTCTCCCAGGAAAAAATAAGGAGTGAATGAACGAATTGAGTGAAGTCCCCATCTTTACTTTAGACTCTCTGAGGCTCCAATTCTGATAGGAGTCTAGTTCTCCCTGCTGACTGCTTCAAGTTGCTAGTATTGTGGAAACAGCACTTTCTCATTTCGTCTTTAAAGTAGCTGTGCAAGGTAGGTATTGTTTATTCCCATTTTGACAGCATAGAAACTAAGGCTGAGAAGAGAGTTTAGGTGAGATGTCTAAGGCCCCAGGTTGGTAAGGGATGGATGGTTTTTTCACTCTTGGGCAAAGATTCTTACCATTACACCACTCGCGGTAGGTGCTTGACATTTGTTCAGTCATGCATTTATCACTCCTAGAGTTTCTGACTTTAGGATCCAGAAACAGGGAAGAAATCTGTGCCTGGGGACATCATGCCATGCTGGGTGCCT